TTTTGATTTTTCTTGAGTTGTGGTGGATGTGGATGCTTTAAGACCATCAAAGAAAATGAACATTTAAATCTTCATCTTGTAATACATACGCATCACTTCAACTTCATCATCTACAAACCACTCATCATCAGATGCCACATTATCGCAAAGCAAAGGATCTTCATCATCACATTAATCTTTTTTTCTTCAAATTTCTATCTCTGAGTCTCATATTGTACATAATGTACACCAGTGAGTTCATCCTCAATGTCGACAAGCGATTTCTCCTCTTTATATGTACTTGGTTGTTAGGTACTACCAATTTCTTTCACAAGCCAGATGAAGAGCATGTCAAGCCAAAACTTCACAGCAGAAATGCTGTAATTCTGGAGTCCTATCACCAAATTGAATCCACCACTCAACTGGAGATCGTTTTGCAATTGTATCTTTTGTTTGTTGTAATCCAAAAAAACCTTCTTCGTTCCTAAAGGTACCAATTGCCAGTCAGCATTTGATCTTTCAGTTGCATCAACTTATTAGACGATCCATGCAAGTGATATATCACCATACTTTATTTCAGGGTTTGTTTGTAGATTTATTCTCTGACATATGAACTGAGGGTTTTAGTAGTAACTAGCGGCATTGCCCATGTGTGCGGTGAAGCCTGTAGTTTCCCACCTATCATCAATAAAAATTTCAATTTTCCGCTAAAGCTTCCCTCACTGCCTCCTAAGTTTGAGGCAATCATCTCTTTGGCTTCATCCATGTCATTGCGCAGATGAAACTCATTGGCATGGGCTCTTCTTTCTCAACAATCCACCATCCCTTAAAACAATGAACTAAAGGTCTAATGGATTGTAATTGGCAATATAAGACACTTTGTCAAAACCTGTCATTTAACAAACAATCTTTTCTAATATCGTTTCCCTCAGCTAGTTCATCGCCCAAAGCAACAACTCAACCACTGTGATATGATGTGAACATAGCGCTCTAAAGGAATAGAGAGACCTTTTAGAACAAACCATTGTTTTGAAAATGTTCCACCCTTAATATCAGCTCATAAATAAGAGGGAAAATTTTTGCTCCAAACCCAGGAAATTGCAAAACTGTATGATCTTCAAACCCTTTCAATGTGTCCACGGACTTCAGGAGAAATTTGCTGAGCAAAGTTATCACAAATTGATCGAAAAGTAGAAACATAGCATCGACAGGTAATTAGACGAACATATATCTGAAAATTTAAAAAAAATAAAAACATATAGAATAAGTAAATAAGATACGCACAAAAAACACACAACATAAGCATAAAATATGCACAACACAAGCAACAATCACGCACAACATACGTATAGAGTACTCACAACATACGCACAAAAACGCACATTTCAGAAAATATGGCAGCAAATTATACGCACGCATAATGTACGCACGCAGTATATACACACAACATAAGCAATTATCACGCACAGTATACGCATATAGTACGCACAACATACGTGTAGAGTACGCACAACATACGCATAGAGTACTCGATGCTTAAAATTTAGTTAGGGTTTATATTTCAAATTTCAACATAAATTCATAAACCCTAAATACAGAGAAAACCCGATGGAATCAAAGTATCAAACAAACATTTAAAAAGTTTCGAGAAGCACCGCATACACATAGCGTAAGCATAAAAAAATAAAGAACTTCAAAACCTTGAACACCTACGCATAGCATAACCATAAAATACGCAGAACTGAACAGAAATCATGGCAGCAAATTACCTTTCTCTTGGTGGGTGACGACACCTAAGAAGGAATTGAGGGAATGCTTGGAATTGCTCCGGATTGAATGCTTGGAAGTTGGAAAGTTTGCTGGAACTTGAAAACCGTAACGCAGCGTCTGACATTCGACCTTTACTAGTGTTTAAATGTTGATGCCACGTCGACATCTCACTAGGTGCAATTAGGGGTCGGAACTGAAAAAAAAAATAGGTTAATTTTATTAGAGGCGTCGCCTCAAAAATGTGAGGCGAGGCGCGCCTTATGGCGCGCCTCACTAAACTTGAGGCGTAAGCCTCAAAACCTTAATTTATTGCGTAGGCTTTGAGGCTTAAAGGGACCACATTACGGTAAGGCGCGCCTCAAGGCGAGCCTTTTATTGCGCAATTTTAAATCATGCACCAAACCCTCCAAACTCAGCTCATGGCAAACTCCAGCTTCTAGTAAACTCCCTGTATTGTAATCCCTGAACTCGTGCAAACAAATAACCAAGGACAATGCAAGGTAGTAAACAAAACACTAGAGGTGTAAACAAAAAACTAGTGTTGGTGTTGAAACAATGAAAAGTACAAGACTGAGTGTCTGCGACTAAATTCCCGCTAAGCTAAGTTCGATAGGCAACCTCTAATAGAGGTCATAAGTGCTACTTTAATCATGGTATTAGGGAAAACTTCCTATGACAAATATCATGTCCCTGATAACATACAAGCTACTTTCAAAAAAGCAATATGACCCACACTTAATTAATATGCTAGGGAAACTTTCAAGTGAAGTAAACTAGCCCTAAGTTAAACCCAAACGTACAGGCCACTGCTAAATGTAGAAGCTGTAAGACCTATCCAAATCCAAATCGGGCTACTTCTAATAGAAGCAGTAAGACCCATTCATAAATTAAATCAAGTCGCCCCAAGGGGAGCAATAAATCTTAATCAAACTAATGCACAGGCAACTTCCAAAGTAAGTAATAAGCCCTGATATTCGAGAAACTTCTAAAATGAAGTGATAAGCCATATAAATCTAAACCTATATAGCCCAATTCTAAGTGTAGAAGTCGTAAGACCTATCCTGATGAGACAGGAAATAGTGCAAAGACACAAATCTTCCTTTCTTAAAACATAGATAAAAATAAACGCTAAGATTGCAAATTAAGAGACAACTTTCTTCCTTAAAACATAGACAAACATAAACAAGATAATAATATTATTAAAAACAAAGACACACTACAACTTATAAAAAACTTAAGAAGAAGGATACATGTGGAGTGGAAACCATGGAGAGAAGGGGTTAGAAGTACAAGACGAAATACAAGAGGGGAAGGGGAAAGGAGACTTAGCTCGCAAGCTAAGAAAAACCCGCATGTTTTTACATTCCACAAATTTTCATTTCTAAACCACCTAAAATAGCAGCAAATAGCCCCTTTAAATAGGGAAAAGGAAGCCAAACAGCCTCCCACAAGTGCCACCCAAGCATCCAATCAAATGAGGGAAAAAAACCCAAAGAACAAGGCACAGCCAGACCAGGAGCCGAGCAACCAAGCATCCCAACAGCCAGCCCAGGAACCCAACAGACAACAAGGGAAAGGCATGGCCAGCCCAGGAACCGAGCAGCCAGTCAACCCAATAGCCAAGAAAACCATCAGTTGAGACCTCCAAACACCAAACAGTCAAGGGCAAGTGGACCAAGCCCAATAGAAGAAAAAATAGCCCACCAGTAAATGCCCATTAAGAATAAAAATTGAACTTTTGCCTACATCATATACAAACAACTGGGCTACTTCCAAGCGAAGCAGTAAGATTCGCTTTTAACCAAACTATTAAAGAAACTACTAAGCAAAATGTGGAACTCTAAAAGCTAACCTACATGAAACTTCTAATGTAGAAGCCGTAAGACCTACCCAAACATACAAGCTACTTCCAAGGGGAAGACGTAAGACCTGCTATTTGGGATACTTTTAAGGGAAGAATCAAACTCTCAAACCAAAACCCAAAATTGTCAAGCCACTTCTAAATGCAGAAGCGTCGGACCTACCCAAACACACAGGTCACTCCCAAGGGAAGCCATAAAACCTACTGTATGGACAACTTCTAAATGAAGTCGTACGTCCCGACCTAAACTTAAACCCACGGGAAACTTCTAAATGAAGACGCAGGCCCCAATCCAAACCTAAATTACGGGAAACTCCCAAGTGGAGCTATAAACCCCAATCCAAACTAAACCACCATAACACTAAAGCCCATATTTAACCACTTCAGTTTACTCGGGATACATGAGAGGAGGCAACCCATTGTTACTAATCATATTCCCTATATATTATGATCAATGATTGTAAGTATTGGTAAATTGAGACCTACGACAATCCAGGGATAACGGAACCATGGGATCTTGATCGGATCTACCTCTATCCCTCACAACCAAGGTTAAAATACTTGCGCATCAAAAATTAATTTATCCTTAATCGAGAGTTCTCTTCAACGCGATATGAGGGATAATTAACTATGGGGGCGTGCGCTTATAGGAAGTAGGAACCCAAAACTAAATAAACCCCGACACAATCATCGGGGGAAATCTGGCTAATTAAAAATTCAATCTACCTTAAGGAAAAATGGAACCTTAAGCCTAGGAAGCAGGGCTCAAGCGCCATATTTTTCTAAGTGAACACTAGCTGAGGATTTTAAGTCAGGCCACGGTACTGCTTAATGTATCTTCATTGGTCAATATAGTTTACAGATAGTTCCCAAGATCCATTTTATTTTCACGATCTATTTTCTCAGCGGTTTCCCACTCCTTAATTTGTCTTTCTTTCCTTTCTTTTTTTTCCCTGCTGCACCTGGCATTATAATCGTCACGCATACATTTTTTAATGTATCACTGAAAACAGTTCGGTACTCCCAAATAATCAATTGTCCCTCAGCTTTTAGTTGTGAAGAAGGCTGATGAATATAAGGAGACCAAAGAAGGGACACCATAAAAATTAAGAAGAGAACATGGAGAACTAGTGGCTGTTAAATTGTTAAGGAAACAAATGGGTTGGAGGTTGCATCACATTATAATTGCAATTCCCAAGCATCAAATTTTTTTCATCTTTTCAGGATGTTAAACAGTGGGTCGCCAATTGAAGTATGAAACAGACAAAAAATGACAGTACATACCACAAATAATGTAATCAAAGTGCTAAAAGTAAAAAATGAGGAAGTTGAGCCAAATCCTTTCAACAAAATAATATACTTAAAGAGGGTGAAATGAAGCAAAGCAGACCTGCATACTTCATCACCATTTTTGCTATATGCAGTAAGCAAAACTAGAGGTAGACCTTCTTGAATTGCCTCATCAATAAACCTACAACAAAGCATACAAGTTTTGTTACAAAAATATTAGTGGAGAGAAAGTAATACAAAAAGAAGCAGAATGACTAGTAAAAACATTTCAGAAATCATTTCAAACTGTTCAGAGTTCAAACTTTGAACGCGTAATTAGTAAATAACCATCAAAATGAAGAATAAAACAGAGAATATATGCTTTGTTTTTGGAGAGAAGTTATGACCCCAATGCTTAATATGGATTTGAAAACAATTGAAAACTAAATTTCAACAAAACAAAATTATATTCTCAGCTGCATAATCCTGGAAACTTTATTCTCTTGAAAAGAATTGAAAACTAAATTCATGATCATTATCTTGCAGCTGCCATCATCAGATATGCCACCAACCTTACTTTTCATTTAGTTTAAGCTCTTCAAACAAAGTTAGAGCCTATATGGCAAATTACACTTCGCTGAAGAGGGAAAAACTTTATTCTCTATTATTAGTTTTAGAAGAACGCCTATACAGAGGAAAATAGAACTAAATACCAAAGATGGGAAATAAATCAGAAAATATTGTCAAATATAAGGATAAAACACACATATAAACAAATCTACATCTAAGTGACCAACTAGAATTTCCTATAATACTCTTTCCAACAAGAATTCACGATTCTAAGGACAAAACATACTTAGAAATAAATTCATTAAATACTGGATCACTAGCGATTTAGATAAAAATACTGTTGCCACAATTTAAGATCACATATTGAGAAATTGGAAAATCAATATCCCTTGTGCACATGCTAACCCGCATTATCTCACACATAGTGTACCATGTCTTTATATTCTGCCCCAACGCTTGATCCTGCCACGATTATTTATTTCTTGTTCCTTTATATGACATTATGACCAATTTGCCTCTCACAAATATACAATATCCAAATATGAATTTTCCACACCAATGAATCCAACCATAATTAGCATTAGAGAAAACTTTCAAATTTCAATGCCCATTATATTTATATATATATATCCTTTTTTTTAATGACTTCATAATCAATATACATATGTCAATTTCAGACATCGCATGTTTTTCAATGCACCGCGGCAAAATTTAAGCAAAAATTTCAAAGTCGTCGGATTTCGACGAAATTAATTTTATAAAATTGTACATAAAATTTTGAGCAAAATGGTAGAAAGGACTTATATGAAATTTTGCTTAGATTTGAAATTAAAAATCATAGAAGTGTTTAAAACTTTCAAATAAGACTAAAATGCCCTTCTATTTCTTCATAACCTTGAGGGCATATAGGACTTTAAACCTTTGACACTAGCCACAACTCTTAAGGGTACCGAAAGGATTTCGGTCCCCATTCATTCTTGCGGCCAAACGAGAGGGAGAGGTAGGCAGAGAGAGGGGCGATGAGTTCAAGGACACGGCGGCTCCGATGGCAGCTTTCCGGAGGCGGTTCGTGAAGGAGATCGAAAAGAGAACGTTGGAAATGAGTAAGGTGAGTTCTTAAGACCAATTTTCATGGTTTCCCTTAGAGTTCTCTCAAGAAAGAAAATTAGGATTTAATGGAAACTTCAAATTTCTTAAGGAAATTGATAGGGAAGGTTTAGGAGATGATTTTAAGCATGAAAATGATATTTTTTTCCCAAAAATTTTGGATTTTGAAATTTAGGATTTCTTCCGCTTTTCGTTTTCTTTCAAATGTTTTTGGAAGAATGCTTCCTAATAACAAAGTTAATGTGATTTTTATGAGAAATATCAAGTTTAAAAAAATTAAGGTCTTTCTCTAATCATGAAAACCCTTAAGTATTATGATTCCAAATAGACTTAGGAAGGATTTTAGAGGTGAAGTTTAGGATTTTTATACAAAATGCTATTTTTTGTAATTTTAAATTAGATTAATCCGAACATTAATTGTATTTTCCTTAATTAATAAGTGCATGGGAGGTTTTCTTATACATTTACTATGTAATGGACAAAAAGGGGGTTTCTAATTATATGGATTAGGTTTTTCTCAAAATATTATTTTTCTCTAATTTCTAATTAATTTAAATCCAAAAATTAGATTTATTTTAAATTAAATTATACTTTAGCAATATGTTAATTTGAGTGATTAGTGATATTATACAAAATTAGAGAGAGGGAGGGAGAGAGAGAGAGAGAGAGAGAGAGAGAGAGAAAGAGAGCCTATGGTAATTTTATAGGAATAGAAGAATTAAATTTGAGATTATTAGCTTTAGCTTATGAATATTAAATTATTCATTATAGGTGTTAATTGTTGTGACCTCGAAGGAAGGAGAACAAGTGTAGAAATCAAATCCCTCGAATTAAGTGAGTAAACATGTTTCTATATTACGGTAATTGTATCGTTTCAAATTTTCATTTAAATTGTTATTGCAAGTTATTCACTTTAATGTATTTCAAATGATTCAATATTTCATCTCTCGCATATTAAGTGATTCACTATATTATTGTATAAAGCATGAGATATAGCATAATATTATGATATATGAATATGATATGATTGATATATTAAATGATTGCATGTGCAAGTTGAAATGATGGAGCTCACCCCCTTATGGTACTAGTTGGGGAAGTTCTACTCGTACACGTTAAAATGATAAAGATTATGAAAAAAGATAAGTTAAAGGAGTATCTTCATTGGTACTAGACGGTGTTACCTGTGATGGTTGTACTACATATATGAAAATGAGAAAATTATGAATACAAATATGATGAATGTAAACTAAATATGAAATGTCTTTATAATTTATGCATAATGTTTAAATGATATTTTTATTAGGAAATAAAATTTATGATATGTTTAAATGAAAAGTGACATCTAGCATATTACTTATACTGTCTTGAATTATTGTAGTTTAGAGGCATGTGTTACTCGCTAAGCTTTGATTTATTGTTATTGTTCTAACTTTTATTTCAGGTAAGTTTAATGTAATCAAATGAATAGAAGAGAAGGAAATGTCTATCGTACACTTGAGGCAAGAGATGGAAGGTATTTAAGTTGTTTTCATATATATATATAAAGTTTAGTGACTCTTTAATTGAACAGGAAATAGATTTAGTTTATGATTTCACCGTCCGACCTTCTGTTCTCGCCTCGTTAATTTGAGCCCCCAGGTCGGGTCGTGACAAAAGTGGTATCAGAGTAAAGGGTTTAAGAATATTGATCAATATGAAAGAGTCAATAGGATGATTCTATAGGTTAGAGAATGTATAGGATGTGTGTGTTATAGACTACTTAATTTATTTCATCGCGTTATATCTCATGGTCATGTATCCTAAAAATGATGCAACTAATGGCAATACGGGAGAATTTAGGAGGGAGCTACCAGCAGTAGTAGAGCCTTCAAGTAGTAGCATCAATGCTATTATGGAATCTTTTACGCAAATGATGGCAGTAATGACCCAAATGATCAAGAATACTTAGACTCATGCCAGTGGTAGTAGTACTCCCATGGATAAAAATTTAAAGTTGTTCCAAGATATGAAGCCTCCGTTGTTTTCAAGTGGTGGACCCATAGAGGCAGAAGATTTGGTGATGAGGATAGAGAAGATTTTGGAGGGTATGTCCTGCCCTGAGGATAGAAGGGTTACTCTCGTTGCTTTTGCCTTTGATGGTGAGGCGGAAAGGTAATGGCAAAGCCAGCTACAAGAGACATTTAGAGGGCGATCCAGCAGTCAGTCTCATGGAGAGAGTTTCTTAAAGTGTTTAGAGATTGGTATGTACCCATGTCAGCCAGGAGATAGATGCAGGATAAATTCATTAGATTGGTACAAGGTGATAGATCTATTATGCAGTATGAGGCCAAGTTCACCAAACTTTTCAGATATGCCTCACGTCTGATACCTAATGCAAAAGAAAAATATAATCATTTCTTTTCTGGCTTGAAGGATAGCATTAAACAACCTTTGATTCCTTTTGACATTGAGGATTATTCAACTCTGGTAGAGAGGGCCCGAAGGATTGAGTTAGATTTGCAAGCAACTCAGAATAGAAGGGATCAACATAAAAGGAAGAGTTTTGAAGAGGATATACAAAGAAATCTAACTGGAGGACCAAATGAGAAAAAACCCAAGTTTAGTCCTACTGGAGTTATTGGTGCAACTGTTAGTAAAGTTATGGAAGCTTATGCCAAATGTGGCAGATAGCATAAGGGTGAATGTCTGATTGGTTCCAACACTTGCTATTGGTGTCGTCAGCCTGTACACAGCAAAATATTGTCCTTCAATGGTTCAAAAAACTTCAGGAGATATGAGATCAAATGAAATACCTTCACATAGGAATATTGGCAAATCCAAAATGATAGAACCATCAATTGCAGGTTCAGTGCAAAATCAATCCAGGCAGAATGTTCGACCACAGGTTTATACTTTGACTCAACAAGAGCCCAATGAATCCATAGATGTTGACAAGGATAGTTGATATGGCTTTATTATTTATTTTTAGTGGCTTGTAATGTTATATCAGATAATTTGGATTAAGTAGATTATCTTGTTATGTTATATCAAATATTTGGGTTGATCAGATTATTTTATTATGATATATTAGATGCAATGGAAGATATTTTTGATTGTGTAACTAGAAGTTGTATGTAAATTTTGAGGATAAAATTTTTATTAGGATGGGAGAATTATTAAACCTGAAAATATCAATTTTAGACATCACACGCTTTTCGATGCGCCGCACAAAATTTAAGTGAAAATTTCAAAGTCGTCATATTTTGACAAAATTAATTTTATAAAATTGTAAATAAAATTTCGAGCATAACGGTATAAAAGATTTATATGAAATTTTGCTTAGATTTGAAATTAAATATCATAGAAGTGTTTAAAACTTTCAAATAACACTAATATGCCCTTCGATTTCTTCATAACCTTTGGTTATGACTTGAGGGCATATAGGGGACACTAGCCACCCACTCTTAAGGGGACCGAAAGGATTTCGGTCCCCATTCGTTCTTGCGGTTGAATGAAAGGGAGAGGGAGGCGGAGAGAGGGGCG